TTATAGTTGCAATGGAAATTTGTCCATCCAGTGATACACAATAACACACAGAAATGTTAAAAAACTATATAGGTAACCTTTAAGGTAGGTATTAGACTTATTCTCATTTCTAGTGTAGTATGTATTTCATTGCTTAAGTAACATTTTAAGAGTAATTTGTACTATGTTTAAGAAGACAAAGGAATCTTACAGGGTAGTAAGCATATTAATGAGGCTACTCCAATCAGATAACTACTAAAGGCTATGCTTTTCTAATATGCATTATTACCTGAGAGGAAAGGCAAACATGGTAGAATTAAGGGACTTCAACTGTTTGGATGCATATTAAACCAACAGATATGTATTGGGCATATGCTGTGTACAATATCTTGTGCCAGGCACTATAAAATTGCAAAGATTAATCAGATATACATTCTTTTTTCAAGGCGTTTACTTGAGAGTAAAGAGATAGGATATGTACATAAATAACCAAGTTGCAAGTAGAAGTAATGTGTCATGGGAATCCAAAGACGAGCCCTTATAACCAAGAATATCCAAGAGCTATAGAGGAAAGTATTTCAGACAAGGGAAAGTTCAAAATTTCTGCATCAACAAAGAATGTGGCATATCTGGGAAGCTCTGAGTAGTTTATGTGAAGGATTAGGACAGAGTTTGCAGGGAGTAAATTGGAAGGTTAGATTAAGGGCAGTTTATGGAGTAAGGGTAAGGATTATATCTTAATCAGTATTTATTGTTTCTAGCTATAAAATCATAGTGCCTGGTAACATAGTAGGTGTCTGACACATAGTAGATACCAAATAAATATTTGAGGAATAAATGAATGCATTCAAAAGCTAAATTTAATTGTTTTGTAATTTGAGAGAAATCATTTTAGGTTTCTTAACAGGAAAATGTGCGTCAGACTTACCTAACAGTTGTATACAGAAGGGCATGGGAAGGGGAGAAAGTGGATGTAGGGAGATAAGTTAGAAGGCTATCATGGTAGTTAAGTAAAAAGTAATGAGGACCTGAACTGAGGAGGCTTTGTAGGAATAGAGACTGATGTGAAATTATTGCAGAAGTAGGATCATTAAGCTTGATTTTTGAGATGTTTGGAGAGAGTAGTGCAAAGTGGAAGTAGAAGTTAAAGGTCTAGTTATGTTTTTTTTAAGCCAAAGTGGCTGGGAGACTATGATGTTATGAACCAAGTTTGGAATTGGGGAGGGATTAGATGTGGAGAAGAATGTGGGGGGTTCTTCTTTTATTCTTTTTTGTTGTTGTTGGGTATACGTATTGAATTTGAGACACCAGTAAGGTATCCCAGTGGTGTAGCAGGTAGTTGAACATGCAGGATTCATTTGGTAGAAATGTTGGGCATAACAGCGTGAGTCATTTGTGCAGAGATGTTGCTACTTACGCCACCTAAGTAAGCAAGATCTTAGGAAACGCATTTCAGAGGGCAGACAGAAATGGAAGAATGGGTTAGAAAGGGTACCAAACCATATTGCACTGGGTAGGAGGTTAAGGGGGGATGAAGGCTAGAGGGAAGTCAAATAAGATAAGGACTAAGAAAAGATCTTTGGATTTGGTGGTTAACTGTTCACCACAGAATAATGTTGAGAGTAAGAGGAGGGAAGTTGAGAGATCATCATGCTGATTAGTTACGATCATTTTTGTGAAGTGAAAAGCAAAGACATTTTCAAAGTAAGGGTTGCTTGCCTGAGGTATTGCTCATAGATTAAAAAAATCTTTGTTAGGGGGAGCATTTAAGCAAATGAATTTTAAGATCTAAGTATTATCTTTTTTGACTGCTACTTGACATAATATTGGTTGTTTCACCAAATATGAACTCCTGTAGTTGCAAATGTTCAGACAGTGTCTGACTCTGCATTTACCAGGGCTGTTGTAGAATGTGACTTCTCTTTTAGAAAAGAAGCTGAATGGAAATCTGAAATCAATGAATTATATTTATAGATCTTGAATAGGCATTAGGTAGGGGGGACTCAGTTTTCTATTTTCAGATAGAAAATTTCCTGGTTGAAGTAAATTTGAGATTTACTTCAAATTTTAAAATTTAATAATGATAAAGCAAAAAGACTTTACATTTGTTCTTGTTTAATTCTTACAGTGATGCTAGGAAGTGGATGTGAAAACTGAGGATGGGGTTAAAGATTCCAGGGACACATAGCTAGTTAGAATTTTAAAACCTGGCTTAATCTTCTGTCTGATTAAAATTCATGTCCTTGATATTCTTATTTGCTAATGAGTTGGATGGCAGGACATTTTAAACATAGATGATAATCTGATAAAAGTCATGATAGTGGAAGTGGGAAGACCAGAAGAAATCAATTTTACAAGAGGCAAAAGGGTCAGGCTAAAGAAAAGAGCTTGTGTAATTAGCAGTAGAATGAGTGTGTATATGTACTTTATATACTTATATACATACTATATACACATATGGACATATATACTTATATCTGTATACACACAACATATATCTTAATGTTTATATATGTATATGTGTACTATGTAAGATATCCTGTGTTGTCTATACTTTTTTCCCATTAGACAAGACAAGCTGCACTTATATATACTTACATTTTATTTAGTAGTTACCACTCATACATTTTAGTATTTTAATTGTATAATGAAAACTCAAAATTAAAGCTCTATTATTTAATATACAGTACTTCTAATTTTAAAAAGTAGTATATACAGACTTCAGCAGTTGAACTATATACTTTATTTTTTAATTTAATTTTTTTTAATACAGCAGGTTCTATTTTATGCACGCTAGTGTATGTATGTCAGTCCCAATCTCTCAAATCATCTCACCACCTCCTCCCCCCGACCCCCACTTTCCCCGCTTGGTGTCCATACGTTTGTTCTCTACATCTGTGTCTCTATTTCTGCCTTGCAAACTGGTTCATCTATACCATTTTTCTAGATTCCACATATATGCGTTAATATATGATATTTGTTTTTCTCTTTCTGACTTACTTCACTGTATGACAGTCTCTAGGTCCATCCACGTCTCTACAAATGACCCAGTTTCATTCCTTTTTATGCTAATATTCCATTGTATAAATGTACCACATCTTCTTTATCTGTTCGTCTGTCGATGGGCATTTAGGTTGCTTCCATGACCTGGCTATTTTAAATAGTGCTGCAGTGAACACTGGGGTGCATGTGTCTTTTTGAATGATGGTTTTCTCTGGGTTTATGCTCAGTGAACTATATACCTTTAGAAAGGAGTAAAACCGAGGATATTTTAAGGCTTTTTAAGAAAACTTACCTTGAAGGATCTGAAATATCAGGCTGTTTTGGGTTTGTTATCAAGTGGCAATATGTACCCTGTATTGTTAGAGACAATGTAACATGGTAGGAAGACTGGCTATGGAATCATTCTCGAGTTTAACAAATGTATATTGCGTGCCGACTCTGTATCCAGCACTGTTTCAGGTATTGAGGATACTATAGTGAAAAAGACCAAAAAGATCAAAAAGACTAAGTGATTGGAAGGCAGCCATGCAAAGCTCTAGAATAGCATTGCCAGGCAGCAGGAGTGGCAATGGCAAAGGTTCTTAGGCTGGAGTGGGCATGGCATCTTCCAGGGATGGGGGAAAAAAGGTCAGCATGACTGAAACCTACATGGCAGAGGGCAGAGTGGTATGAGAGAAAGTTAGATAGGTGGGGGCCAGATCGTGTAAGTCAAACTTTTATATTTTATTCTGAGTAAAGCGGGAAGTCTTTTTGTGGGGTTGAAGTAAGGGAGATAAAGAGACTTGATCTATAATTTCGAGAAGCTTTGTATATTGCTAGAGAATGGATGATGGGGTGGAGTAGGATGAGATTAAGAGCAGAAGCAGGGAGACCAGTTAGGATGAATTTAAGTAGTCTAGAGTCGATGATGGTGTCAACTAAGGTTTTAGCAGTGAAGTGGCAATGGGTAGTTAGAGTTATGATATGTAAAACTTGGGAGTTGTCATGGCATTGGATGTAGGAAATGAGAGGAAGCAAGGAGTCAAGATTGACTCCTATTTTTGACTTAAGACAAAATATGGATGGATGGTAGAACTATTTACCAAGATGGGGAAGTTTGAGGGAGGAGCAGGTTTGGAATAAAAAAATCAAGAATTTTATTTTGGATATGTTAAGCCTGAGGTGCTTATTAAACATCCAGGGGAAGTGTTGAAAGGATAATTATACATGTTACCTTGGAGATGAAGTGACTGATAAATTTTAGTCATTTTGATGTATTTAAGAACTGGATGAGAACACCTCAAGAGCGTATAGACAGTGAAGAGAAGAGGGTCTCTAATGAACATGGGAATCTGAGTTCTGATTGCTGGGTGACTTGGTTTTCATATTTCTCATACTTCAGAGTCATTGTGAATTTAGGTAGTACGAGGCTTGTTACATAATGCAGCTTTTATTTTTAGGTGGTTATTTGAGGTATTATTTAAATTGCTTTGGCAAGCAAAAGATTCCTTTTCTAAAACAGCTTATGGTCTACTATAAACTTCTTTCTAGATGGAAGTTTTTACTTTAGGAATTCTTCACCTAAGAGGAGACATGGAGAAAGTTTAAGGAGAAGCACAGGGAAGAAAAGGAACAGAAAAGTTCAAGCAGCATCATAGCTATGCTTAGGGTACCATCAGTGCCTTCTTATTTGTTTATGTTGTTTTACCTTTGTTTCATACATCTCAGATTCCTGGGTACAAAACATTTTTAGCTTTATATCTTTTGAGTCTTATAATGTTCTATATGTTGCATTTGCTCAGCAAATGATAACCTCATATACATGAAAGTACACTGTCCTACTGGGACATTAAGTTCTCATTTAAATGCCTTGGGATACAAAAATTCTAAGTTTGCCGCTAAATCAAAACAGATCATCCCCTTCTCCTGTTTCAGAATTTGTTTTGTGCTTGGAGTTATATGAAAAATCATTTATAACAATACTTCTAAAAGTCTACTAATTGAATGAAGGAATTAATGTTCTGTTAATTGTGTTACAGAGTTATAAATTTTGTCAAGGAAAATTACAGTTAATTTTAGACCAGTTGGATCCTGGGCAACCTAAAGAGGTAAGTTTAAAGGATAACTGTCAAGTTCAGTCAGATATACATTATATATATATATATATATATATATATAAAATAGATTATAATTAGTAGCAGCTGGATTATTTCTCTTGAAGATAGTCCTTTAATATCATGGCAGTTCTAGACTGATATCCCTGCTAGACTTTCTAGTCTTGAAATGAAAAGTCACAGAGTAAGAGAGGCTCTCCTTAGAGAGTTCTCACAGTTTGTAAGAGGAAATTTTTATTTCTAGTTTCAATTTTCAAGGGATGAATTTATGAGCAGTTTCTCCCAAACTGTTCCTTCGCTGTTGATTTGTATGTGATATTTTAGTGATTTCTTTGAAGAAAAAAATCTTCATTTAATGCTCTTTCTACTTCTGGAAAACGTGAGCAACTTTGACACATGTTCATTTATTAGAAAATATTTTAAAAAAGCAATTTTATTGAATTGAGTCTCTTTATATTGTAATAATTGTATAAATTACTGTTTATGAAGTTTTATTTCATTTGAAAGTCAGTCTGTTTCACTTGAAATAGAAAATGATAGGATTTTTGAAGTTCCTCAGACGTCTGTTATATCTTGCCATTTGGTCTTGTTTTTGAAATACATTGTTTTTCTTCAACTTTTCATTTTAAATTAAGTGAATAGCTATGATTTACTCCCACAGATTTTTTTTTTTTTTCCTCTCAGCATTTCACATTCTGATTTATTTTCTTGGTTTTAGTAAATGTTTCAACAGATTGGCAATGGGACCTGACTTTATATGATAACAATATTATTGTCTTTAGTTTAAGTGGATTATTTGGAAATCTATACTTGTTCAGAAACCTTTGTTCTACTTCTGCAAATAGTAAATTGTTAATGGAGTTTTGTCCTAAAAATTAACTGAAAAGGAGAAATTTACTTAATGTTTTTAAACTCTCTTCATAGTCCCCCTAATGCCTATCCCAAATAAAATTGTATTTAAGAGTTTTTCATATGAATATATAGACATTTTAAACACATGTGTATTCTATTTGTTTCACCTAAAACTTGACACCCTGAAAACTGACACCTTGACACATTCGGAGTGCTTGGTGTCCTAAGGTCTTAGCTCTTTGACTCTTCATTTTTTATTCCTCTCACTAGGTTTCAGTTATTTCAGCTGAGGAACAACCAAATTTTGAGGAACAGGTTGGAATCAGTGTGTTATTACTCACTAGTTGGACAGTGAGTGGGGGAGAAGCTTTATTCCACTTACGATTGGAGTAGAGCTATTTGCCACTGCTGTCCCTTGGGTCATACTGTCTTGAGTGAATTCTGATTGAATTTTGAGAAGAATGATTAATAAGATTTCTGTGAAAATTCAGAAATTCAATTTTGCATCACATTGCTGAATCACTTTTTTTTCCCTATCTCAGTGGTTAGAAGGTCAGAAAATATGGTGTAGCGGCAAAAACAAGTTCAAATTAATTGTTTTGTGAGAATTGTTCATATATCCTAGAATGGGAATGCTTCACCAGGGACATAACTGGGCATTGTTTTAGAATTAGAGTCCTCAAACTGTAGGACCACCTGTGGGGTCTGTTCAAGTGAGGAAAGTCTATGGAGGAGACACTGGAATACCTTATTCTGGTGATTCAGGTTTGGCTACCATCCCTTCTCCTCTTCCCCTTAGACGTGTGACCTAGAATCTCCTAATATAGTTAGGTTATTTTATGTAAAGCAAAAATTAAAACACTATTTAGTTTCTTTGCTTAACAGTTTAAAAAATGAATTATCAATAATTGTTTTATAAAAGGGCCTCTGATTTTCAACTGGCTCTTTAGAGCAGTTATCCAGACTCTGCGTCTCAGTGTTTGTTAAATATTTGGAGAATTGCTATTATTTTGGTGGCTGAGTATTAATAAAAATTCTTTTAAAAAATTATAGGTGAGATATGAAGCCTTGCAAACATTATGTTCAGCTCCTCCATCTGATGTACTGAACTGTGAAAATTGGACCACTCTCTGTGAGAAACTGACAGTGTATCTTTCAGATCCTGATCCTGTATTTAGTGTAAGGAAATGCTTACAGAAGTGTTAAGAATTCCTGTTTTTTTCCCTACTATTCTAGGAGCAAATGGAATATAATTTTCTTTAATAGTAGCTCAAATATTTAATAGTAACACAAATATAACTTCAGCTCCAGCTTTTAAATTATCAAGATTTTTTTTTTAAGGAATTACTATGTCATGATTAGATTCAAAGTATGGTTGGTTAGTGTCATACTTCATTGCCAAATAATAGACTATGTTAGCTTATGCATTTTGTTTTATCTTGTAAAGGGATATCCAAGTATCTGTGTCAATGTTTTTGAATTAAGAAAAATATTTTAAAAGAAAGAGTGTGTTTTTGAAAGAATTCATGATGTATGAAGACTTAAACTTACAATGATTATAATTTATTCTAAAGGATTAATAAGCATTTTCCCTGTTCAGTTAAGTGTTAGAGATTGCTTAACTGCTTAAAAAGAAAAGTTAGAAAACTGTAAAACTAACACTTTAGAAGATAATTGAGATGAATTATAAAACTAATGTAGAAAATTCCCAAAACTGTAAAGTTAGTCAGTAGAGTTATTTTGTATAAAAAAAATGATTCACATATGACTTCTCAGAAACACTATGTTGAAAAGTAAGATTATATTAAAAAGTGCAGTAATTATATGGGATTAAAAAAAATCCTGACTGTATTCCAGCATCACATTTAACTACAAACTAGGTTTTTTATGTATGTACATATGTATTTATTTTGGCCGCCCTGGGTCTTTGTTGTGGCGCATGGGCTTCTCTAGTGCGGCACACAGGCTTAGATGTGGTATGTGGGAACTTAGTTCGCAGACCAGGGATCGAACCTCGGCCCCCTGCATTGGGAGCACAGTCTTAACCACTGGACGACCAGGGAAGTCCCCCAAACTAGGTTTTTTTAAGTGTCTTTTTCTTCATAAATGATGTATCAGTGAAGAAAAACATTGGCTTTAAAATTGATAAAGTTTTTTTAAATAGAATTTTTAAAGGTATTAGTAAAAAAGAAATTTTTCCAGCTCTTCAACAAATATGCACTGAATACCTACAGTGTACATCATTCTAGTTCAGATGCTGGGAACACTGAGCAAGACAGAAGCCTTTGCCTTCATAGAACTTTAGAAGAAGAGACAGACAGTAAACAGCTAATACAAATAAAAATAAAACTCAGTACCTTTTTACTACTTAAAATTACTCTTCCATCAAGGAAAATATACTGGTAAACAGAAGTGGTTTAGAAACAAGTGGTTTGTTATTTTTATAAGGGGGGAAATGGTGTTTAATTACGCAATACCTGGATACAGTTCAACCATACTAACCCCAGAGGGTGAGGCAGACTTCTCTAAAAACTCAAGGATTCAGGAACTTCAAAGGGGAAAGATATTTCAGGGTTATCTTTTAACATTTCAAGGCATTCTAACAGGAAATTGTAAATTTCCCTCTTAAAGACATAATAGTGGTCTAATAGGTTTCCTTTTATAAACATGGTAAAGATCCTACTGGGTCAATGTAAGTGGCCTGATTTTTCCATTATATTCAGCAAGAGTCAGTGTGGATACTTAGAAAGTATGCGCTGTTTTAATTACATTTCTACTGAAATTTTTGAATGGTCTTGTGTTTATTCAGTTTTTTACTATGTAGAAAAAGATTCTTACAAAAATAGATGATGAAAGAATATTGGATACAAATCTTGTTTCATTTCCATAGGACCGGATTTTAAAATTCTATGCACAGACGTTTACACTTTCACCATTACATATGACCAAGGAAATTTATAAAAGCTTAGGTATGTTTATTATATAATTTTTAAAATTTATAAGTTTGTACTTAAGAAAATGGATAGGAAATAACTGTTTCAGAAAGCACTGTGAATGAATGGTATTATAACCTTATTTTTATATTTTCTTTTTAGCTAAATATTTGGAGTTATACTTTCTTTCTAGAGAAAATCATATTCCTACTCTTACAGCTGGCATAGATATAACTAATCCTAATGTGATCTATTTACTTAAAAAGGTATTCATTTTCTATAATATGCTTTTATTTCTGTTTAATTCTATATTTAAGAATTCTAACTTCTTGAGAACGGTTATGCACTGTTTTATAGGTTCGTCTTCTAAATGAATATCAGAAAGAGGCTCCATCTTTCTGGATTCGACACCCAGAAAAGTAAGCCCCCTAGTTTTTGCCAGTATAAAATTAGGAGTGTTACTGTCCATATACATTTCAAAGAGAGTAGAGACAGTCTTAACTGATTTATGTGGTTGGGAAAGGCTTACTAGTTTATTTTTTAGCTTTTAATGGTTTTTACTTAGCTATGTGAATGGCTCTATGCAAGTACCATTTTATACCATTTAATTATCACAACAAGGTAAGAGGCTGTTGTAGCTTCAGGTTCTTTCATTACTGGTCTTCGCTACTTTGGTCAAGTTCCTTGAATGTTCTTTAAACTTTTCCCTTTTTAGTTCTAAGATTTTTAATAAGGTAGTTAAGAGTAACTGTGGGTCTAAAAAGGAAAGTTAAATTTGGACAGCCAGTGTTGAAGTAGAACATAAGTTTTTAGAGCAGAGAAAACTGGGGGTGAATTTCACCCCTGCTATTTACTGAAATATTAAAACATGATGTTTCTAAAGATTACCTATTACTTTATCATTCCATAAATATAAAATGTCACTATTACATATATATAGCATTTGTTTTTTTCTAAAAATCACTTCTTTCTCAAACTTTAAGGTATATGGAAGAAATTGTGGAGAGTACTTTGTCTTTATTATCAGTTAAACATGATCAAGGCCATCTTGTCTCACAAAAGATTTTGGATCCGATATACTTTCTTGCATTGGTTGATACCAAGGCTGTGTGGTTCAAAAAGTGGATGGTAAGGAAATATGGAATGTTTTACTACCTTTCTTTGTGTATTGCTCTACTGTGTCAAAGAATAGCTGCTGTTTGATTGTTTACTGTGTGCCAAGAGTTCTATCACTTTTACACGTGTTAACTCACTTAATTCTTATAACAATCTATGATGTAGGTGGTGGTATTATTATCCCATTTTACGGGTGCAGCAACTGAGAGATAGAGAAGTAACTTGCTCAAGGTGGTTTACCTATTAGGTGACAGAGTCAGAAAAGGATTTTAATGGTAATTCAATTGAATCCATTAAACTGATGACCTATCCAAAATCATGTCTTAGTTTAAAAGCTACGAATTTTTTAAGGAGATGTGGTAGAACATAAGGGTTCAATGCTCACTTTTCTCTGGCTTAGATATCTGAAAACATCTCTTCATTTGCCACTTAATGAAATTGCAGTTTGTAAAATGTGTCTAATGCCTGAATGCTGGTGACTTCCTGTGGAGTTGATCACTATCTTAGAACTGAAACTAATATTAAAAGATTCTTACACTGTTACCTCCCTCATCTGCTGTTGAATAAGAGTGGTCTGTGTCTGGCAGTAGTCATAGCTGTGTTGGCCTGTGTTCTTACATCTTTGTCCCTCTCAACCTGTATTTGTTGCAGTGGGGAAGGATGGGAATGGGACCATGACTTGCCATGCAAACCATGCAAAGCCAAGCAGCAACATGTTCATTTACTGCTTAGCACGATTTGGACATTATCTAGCTGATGGCTTTCTTTTTTTTTTTTTTTGCCTTTTATCTAGACTGTATAATAATGCTCAGTTAACCAAAACATAATTCTGTTTGGTGCTTAGCACTTACCTGGCCTACAAATAGTATATGTGTGATAAATGCTTGCTCAACTTAATTTTACCTGAACCCTTTATTCCTCACATCTGACATTTGACCTTTTTCTTTTTTTTGATGATCAAATTACACCACTATTGTAGACAATATACAAAATATGTAAAAGCACAAATAAAATTATACTTTTCTAATTCTGTAACTCAGAGATAACAGCTATTAAGATTTTGTTTTATGTGGTTGTGTGCTTTAAAAAAGACCTAAACAGGTGAATTTTAACAAATCATATTCTGTTTATAATTAACTTTTTTTTACTTAACATTTTTATTGTCAGCACTTGATTCTTAAGAGAATGATGCACATTACAGGAAAACTAACCAATGGAAAATTATTAAATCAGCTCCCCAAGTGTGTTCTAGTATTATTAAAATTTATCACATTCTCCTCTGCTCATCTAAGGCAGAAGTTGTCAAACTTTATGTAAATGGTCAAGCAGTAAATATTTCTGGCTTTGTGGGCTGTCCTGTTTCTGTTGCAACTACTCAGTTCTCAGTAGCCCAGAAGCATCCATAGGTAATATATTATATAAAATTAATGGATGTGACTATGTTACAATAAAACATTGTTTTCCAAATCAGGGGGCAGCTGAATTTGGCCTGAGGGTTGTGGTATGTCAACTCCAGTCTAAGGGATGTACTATGAGGCTTTCGTTTTAGAACATGATCAATAGTTTAATTGTAAGTCAATATGTTTCTCTTACTAAACCTGAAAAAAAGATTAATGGTTTTTTAAAACATTTTAAGCTACAAGGGTTAAAACAGGGTTTTGATTAACCCTCAATTAACCCAAACCCCACTTAATTAAATTCTATTCCCCAGAATTTTGATAGATTTTACAGACTATTATTTAATTTTTTAAAGTAAAATAAACTACATTGAAGGCTAATGATATTGAACTTAAGTAATATTCGTGTAAATTTTCCTCTTTGTACAGTGCATAAAAATCATATTTTAATCTCATCTATGTTTAGTTCTAAGGAGAGAGTTTTTTGGCGCTTTGAATCATTTTTAAAATATGACTGGCAGAGAATGATTAAGATACTGTCCCTTCAGAGCATTTCAACCTTGGCAGATTTCTGCATGTGTAAACAGTACAGTACCCTCTTCATTGTGAGAGTTGTGATTCCTCCCTTGACCGCCCTCACCCTCACTTCTTAATCTTTACTTTAGGCTCTGTCATACACTGGTAGTCAGACATGGCTTTTTTTTTGGTTTTAAAGTAATTTAGCATGGTAACTGGACACAACTGAGGGGTAGATTGTTTTCTATTGGTCTGTCAGTAAATGCTCCAGTTTTTAATATAATTTTCATTCTTATGACTGCTATGCTCATAATCCATTGTACTTAGAAAAACGTGTTTTACCCTGATTACAATAATTTAAACTAAGTTATTGTGTAATTTATGTTAAAGAAATGTTACAGGAAAAATAGATTTTGAATGGTATAGCTTGAATATTAAATACCATTTTACTCCTAATTTTAGCATGCATATTACAGCAGAACTGCAGTACTAAGACTTATTGAAAAGAAATATAAATCTCTGGTAAGTCTATATTTCTGTTCTTATCTTGAGAAATATTATCACAAAAAGATATATGATGTAATAACTTGAATGTGCAAAGTTGAGTGATTAACATCGGATAATGAAGCAGTCCCCCTTTTATGTGACTTTTAAACTACCATTCTGTGAACATAAAAGGATAAAAGTAGAGACTTAAAACACAGTCAGGATAACAGTTAGGAAATATATAACTTCATAGTAAATTGGGCTGGTAACTAGCTATTTTGGGATAAGCCATATTAAGCATTGGGTTGGCCATAAAGTTCGCTCGGTTTTTTCTGTAACATGGAAAAACCCAAATGAACTTTTTGGCCAACCCAATATTATCATATAGTTTAATTCAGATCAGTTGTTTGTAGGGGAGTTTGTTCTATAAAATTTACCCATGCTTTTAACTGAAAGTTGCATGATAAAATTCAGAATGGTAAATGCTTTTGTAGTTGCAAAAATTGATTCAAGTTACACTAAATATAAACTAATACTGTAAAATATGTTCATAACATTTTCTGCATTTACTGCTATTAGTAGAACAACATGTTAGGGCACTGAAAGGAACTGAAATCAGCAAGTCTAGCAATTAATTGACAAACATGAAAATTGTGAAATTAAAGTTATATTAATATGACTTTGAGATAATAAATACGTTCCATGTAGTTAGGTAGAATCTTGAGTTGAGGAGTGAGGTAAAGGGAAAGATTCCTAGAACTGTGAATTTTAGGAAGACTGCAGTAGAACATAAATTGAAGAAAGGAGAATAATAATTGTTTTGTGTTTGAGAATTAAGAGAATTAGGCTTCAGAAAGGAGAAGAGGGAGATGTTGAATATTAGGATGGGAATTTATTTGTAGAGGTAATAGGTATTTAAAAATCCTTAGAGAAACTGAAAGTCTTTCCACATTTCTATCATTCCCATTTTAAATGGAAATTTGATGCTGCCATATGAGCCTAGAGTGATCTTGCTAGAATAGAAAAAGGAGAAAAAACCAAGAACAATTTTTTTCCTCTTATGGTTTGACATACAAATAACTTGGTATGACATAGGCCCTAGTGGATGTATTTCAAATGTTTCTTGTAGATTAACTCTTAAAATCCATTCCTTATTTGAAAAGTGAATTATACTATAATCAATTCTTAGCCTACAAATAGTTACTTCATTATCAACTTGTTCAAATATTTCATGTTCATAATAAACATGCATGAGATTTCATCTTAAACCTCATTTTCTCTTAAAGCTTTTCTAAATTTACCAAAATATCAAGAGATTTTTTAATGGTGTGTGTGTGTGTGTGTGTGTGTGTGTGTGTGTGTGTGTATATATAAAATTTTAAAAGTAAACCCAACTTTTGAAAAGAAACATTGGGGAAAATGGATGCCATGTGTGTTTGTTCCCATTTTCCTTTCAGAATTGAAGATCAAATTTTGTATATCTAAAAAAAAAAAAAATTGTGTATCTGCAGTGGGAACTTTGGACCACTCCATGGATTTGTCTTTGGGATCTGGGATCTTCCCAGGCCAGGGCTCAAACCCATGTCCCCTGCATTGCCAGACATATTCTTTATGACTGTGCCACTAGGGAAGTCCCTAAATTGATTCTTTAATTTTAATTAATTTAAATTTAAAAGTAATATGGGTTAGTGGCTACTCTTTCGTGCAGTTTGCTCTGTCTGTGGCATATATGACATTTTCAGTAGGAAGCATTGGGCAACAAATAATTTGTGTATGTGCTATCAGTTTTTTAAAGCAATATCTGTACTGACTGAAAAGCATTTTGGCTATCAGCATAACTATTATTTTTAACAATTTGAATCTTTTGTCCAGTTTACCCTTAAGGGAATGACTTCTGAAATGGCTTTATTATGTAGTACGTTTCCTATTTTTCTTGCCCTCTTAACGTCGTTTAAAAAAAATATTGACAGCTAGGTTATTTAAATTCTCCCTACCTTACTGTTTTTTATACTCCCCCTACCCTGCCTCGCCAATCTTAGGGGTTAACAGTTAAGTGAGCTGGCTGGTACATATTTCCTAGTGCAGGAGAATAAGTACGAAATAAAATCCTGAATTTTACAGCAAATTTGTCTTTCCTAAGATTTAGGATAATCGCTTTTTATACCCTCAGCTTGACTCTTTAATATTTAAATTTACCTACTGTAGATCTGCTTTTTTTTTTTTTTTTTTTTTTTTTGGGCGGTATACGGGCCTCTCACTATTGTGGCCTCTCCCGTTGTGGAGCACAGGCTCCGGATGCACAGGCTCAGCAGCCATGGCTCACGGGCTCAGCTGCTCCGTGGCATGTGGGATCTTCCCGAACCGGGGCACGAACCCGTGTCCCCTGCATTGGCAGGCGGACTCTCAACCACTGTGCCACCAGGGAAGCCCTAGATCTGCTTTTTGCTCCTGCAATTTAAAGGGCGTATTATATCATGTGATTGTACCTCTTCTAAGATGTACCTTTTTCTGTGATTGTTAACCCTTCTCAAATAAAAGATAGCACATGTAAGAAGTAACGGGAAGGAGTAGAAGGAACAGAAGTGGGTTTAAGTGGGTAGTGAAGACAAAGGTGAGTAGAAATGAGTGCAAGGAAGAATGGGTTTTTGAAGGTTTGAGTGGAAGTAAACTAAAGACTGAGAAAGATTATCTTGGAGATAGTACTTTGAGTTCTCAGAGAAGCTATTTGTTCTTTTGTCTTCTTATTCTTTAGAGCCTCTCAAGTATATTTGTCACGTCAAAAGTTCTCCATAATGGCAGTTTTTCAGTCATTTTTTTTGTTGCTATGTGTAAGAATTAGGATCTTAAGAGTAAGTTCATCTAGGAAGTAGTTCTGTCAAGGAGGTTGCACCTTAGATAAACTCATGACAAACGTGAAACAAATCACTATACTTTTGGGCAAAAGTGTGTGCTTATGAATGGTGTCTCAGGTTCTGACTAAGCAGAAGCTAGGGAGGGGCTGTGTGATTGGTGACATGATCATTGATTCCCCTCTTTCAAGAATTGACAAGTCAGGGAGTGTCCTTATGGAATTTTTGTAGAAATCCCAAGGCAGTTTGACCAGTTGCCTTTGCATGATTTTGTTGCTGGTAGCCACTCATCTCAGGGCTGGCTTGGATTGGATTGACTGGATTAGAGACTTTTTGGACTATGCTTCCTTTTGTTTCCTATGAACACTCCTTTATATATTCAGTAGATGCAAGCTAAACCAAAAGAAGACAGGAGTTCAGAGTCTACAAATAACAACAAAAGCAAAATGAGCACAGAAGAATAAGCAGGTTAATAGTAGAACTATTGACCAAATGGTGGTCCTCCAAAACAAAAGGCCACTTTGTACAAAGACCTATTTCATTACAAATCCAAGGAAAATAAAATCTAGCAATGAGAACTCAGTGAAGCAAGTTGAAGCTTAGATCATTGTTGAGACAGACTCACATGGTGGCAAATCTGAAGGATTATCAAAGTTTGGGACTTGGGGACCCAGTGAACACTCTTCTTTGAGGACCCCATGGAATGATGCCAAATGAGAATCCTCAAGGTAATCTCAATGTAAGCTCCAGAATTGTTGAGGGTTAAGACCACTGTTCAGTATCTGAAACAATGCATAAAATGAGTTTATTGCTTACTTAATTAGGCAAAGCAGATTGTTAATATAAAATTTCGGGGAAAACTTGGAACTCAGGTTGGGCTTTCGGAGGTGAGAGTGAGTTCATGCCAACTGTAGATTTCCTGGAATGTGTCTGTTGTTGGCTGACTTTTAGAAGAAAGGGGCTGATTGGTTTGCTTACAAAAGTATGTTCATTGAGATCTGTTGACATGTCATGATTAACAAGGTTTTAAACTTGTTCTAGATACCTGTTAACCCTGGTTATATAGAAATATGGTTCTGGTTTTTATCTATAAAACAATTGCTCATTTTCAAGGATAGTGGGAAATTTTTAAATTAATGAATAGGTGTTATTCTGGGAAAGAGGGGTGGTGGTTAAGGTAGTGGTGGGAAAATATTTCAGACCCAATGCGCCTGAAAAGTCTGAAAGATACCAAGCATAAGCCTCCAAGAGTCTTTTTTGCCAGTGGGGTCACACAGGACTCCACTTAATTTCTCCAGTGTCAAATTGTGACCGCTCATGTGAAATGTTGTTTACCAGGGTAGCTCATTAGAGACTCAGTGCCCATTTTCTTTTTAAATTGGGGGTTAATCATGTTGGCACCTTCTGCCTGCTACATACCAGGGATTCCACATTCCCAGAAGGAAAATAGACATTTAGCATAAACCACACTGTTTGTACAGTTTACGTACAGTTCTCAGAATGGGGGGAAGCTCCTGAAATTCAAGTTCCCAGATGCTGGTTAAGGACCAATCTTGTAAGCAGGCCTTTCTAATCATAGAAATCCTGCCGTGTTAACTCTTTTGCATGAAACTGAGGCCATAAGAATGAATGAGACTAGGAAATCTATCAATTCCTTGATTCCATGATTATGAACTTGCCTCTATCCACACAACCTCCATCTTTTTTCCATCTAAAACTTAACCCTTCCTTCCACTTAGGTCCTAGCTCCTCCTGCTCTTAGACACCTTTCTGTCAATTATCCTTTCTCTCCTGCATAGTCAAACTTCCTTTCTATTTACTTAAGCATGACCATATCCTTCCAACCTGAGGAATTCATTCTTGACTCTAAGATCCCACCCCTATGTTTTACTCATTTTTTTCTTTTACAACCAGCCTTCTTGAAAATGAAAATTATACTATAGCTGCCTTTACGTTTCAATTTTTATGACTGTTATTTGGATTGAGATTTTTTTATAGTTTTTAGCAATTCTGGTATCTAAGATAGAAATGAAGGCTAGATCCAGTTCACTTTTTGCTGGCTAAGTACGAAGAAAAGACTCAAAGGCAAGGGAACTGGGGATATTGGAAAGATAATTTTTAAAGTCATGGCCAGAAATTTTGCATCTTTCACTATAAAATGTAAAGTACAGTTGTATTTTTGCCTTGGCACAAACATTGTGACAATGTTATATTTGTTGGTTTACAAATATTTTCTGTGTTTCCCAGAATGATGCCATAGTTAAAATGTAACTGGGGAGACTGAGCTTTAATGGCCTGGAAAGGTGCTATTCTAGATTTTCTGAATATTTTTCTTAAATATTTTCCCAGCATATTTTATAGGCTTGACTAACTTCTTTTAATACATGGACTTGTGGACTTCTGGAATTAATAAGCTATTATTTTATTAGATAACTACAGCAGTTCAGCAGTGTGTTCAGTACTTTGAGTTGTGTAAGACCATGAAAGCTGATGAGGTTTTGGGACGTTCAAAGCCTTGTGGTAAGTATGATATTTTGTTACATTTTAAAAATGGTAAATTTTGTTAATAAAAATAGCTTAGTAATTTATTTTTTAATATCATGATAAATTAGATTGCTTTTGCTAATACAAAATACTTTCCACAAATTTAAGATATACCATAATGATGACTTTTTATAGCCGATCTACATTTGAAGTTATTGTAGTGAATCTTACCATCTGCAGTTCTTCAGTTCATACCACGGTGTATGTCCTAGTGTGTTATGCTGCAGTAATACACTAGAGGAAGCAAGAATGAATATATCAGCCATTTATGCATTTTAGTGGGAGGAAAGTTTCTGTTTTATAAAATACTGTCTTATTATTGGACACTTCACCCCACTCTGTGATTCTTCTCTGCTTATCCTCAGTCTGAGCTAAAATATCCTAGTTATTTCATAATCTGGCCCTAATATATCTATCCAATCTCATATCTAGTTATTGATTAGTGAATCTTCTCTTAGAAGGCATACCAGTGCCTATATACTTTGTTATTCCTACTCCAGCTGCCACTATCCATAATCCCCTACAATGATATAAATCTTATTGTGAAAGAATAAACTTTGTTTTCAGGAAGCTTCCTTTGCCTAGTGTGAATTTTTATTGCCCTTTTGCTTACGTCACACAGCTTGCCATGTGAATTTGATGTCTTTTATCATTCTATTTTATGTCACTTCTCTAAGCAAATATTAAATTCTTTGAGAATATGAAGATATCTTATAATTTTTTTATCCCTGAGTAAATTCTTAAGGAAAATGGTCAAAGACCAATTATTAACAGGTTTCAATAGATAAGTGTTTTGTAGTAGAGGAGAAAGTATAGAAGCCAGAACTTTGAGAGACAAAAAAGGTATATAAGTTGATGTATATATTCTATCATCTGTAAATTCATAAATTTTTCTAATCTAGTATTAAAATGTTGTATCTAGCTTTTTTTCCCTCTACCACTCTCCCAGCCCTTCATGGCTTTGATTTTTTCCCTATCTATGAAGACCTCTGGGTGCTTCACTGCATTCTTTTGACATTTCTTTCAAAATTCTTGCTTTCTTTCAGAGTTTCCTGCCTGCACTTACTCAACTTTAGATCATCTCTGGTCCTCAGGAAATTAAACAGAGAGCATTGTAATGTTAAATTGATGGTGCACTGATGTATTTCTCTAGCTTCCATGGCTCTTTATGTTGCTTTGGAATCAACTTAGATGTTCTTTCTTCAGTGTTCCACCAGTCCCATCAAACCCCCTGCCTTGCTCCTGCCCACTTTTCTCTTGAGGAAAGCTTGCGTCCTACTTTACTGAGAAAAATGGAACATTTTGGATTTGAAATCCTCAAATGTCCCGCATCTACACCTACAGATGCATATTTATATGCCCTTATCAGTATTCTTCTCCAGGCTTCAATGAAGAGTAATCCTTCCATTCCAGGTTAATCTATTCGACTGTTCTTGATTCTGTTTCCATCTGGTGTTTTTTTTGTTTGTTTGTTCGTTTTTTTAAGAACCAGGACATTGCTTCATTTGTTGTTTTGTCTCCCCTTCTATTGGTACCTTTCCTTGCATTCTCTAAACGTACTCATATCTTTCATATAAAAAACTGAGCAAGTTCATATGTACCTCACATCTCTCTGCTTCCCTTAAGAGAAAAGGCCTTCCAAGTGTTTAATATACACCCAGGCCCCATTTCTTTACCGCCTATTCACTTCTCAACCATGGAAATGAGGCTTTTATTTCTATGGTTCAATGATCTTCCCATTATTAACTTTCTCTTCTTTCTTGCCCTCATTTTATAGCATTCGCCTCTCTTCACCCTTTCCCTCACCTTCCTAGTACCATTCTTTGATTTCTTCATTCTCATCTAATAAGTTTCTCTTAGTCACTTGAAAGGCTCTTTTCTTTATATGTCTGTACTCACAAAAGTTTTGCCTTTTATTTTTTTCTTCAGCTTAGTCTACCTGTTCTTTCTTGAGGGAGCCCATTCACTCTCATGGTTTCAAATATTACATATTTATATATATAAGTGATGGCTCTGAAATATTTAAGTCTATATTCCTTTCATGAATTCCAGACCAATGTACTCATTATATTTAATATTCTATCTGGAAGATCCATGGGAACTTCAATATTAAAATATCAAGGACTGAAATCACTATTCTCTTTCTAAACATTTTTTCTTCAGAATTAAATAGAAGAAGGATTTACTGTGCACACAGATATTTGAGTTAGGAACTTGATAATTTTTTAAATCTTTTCATGGTCTGCATGTAATTCTGGTTAAGGCATATTGATTTCAGTTCCTTAAACATTTGTCTACTGTTCTCCATTCTTTTTTCTTATGGAGGTTTTTGTTCATGATTTTCCTAATGAGTCTTAATTTAAGCCTTGGCCTTCTTCCATTCACCTTTCCATGTTGCCATCAGAGTCAGTTTTCCACATGCATGTTTGATTCCTTTCCTGCTTGAAACCCTTTAATATCATCCCAATTGCCTCTATAATAAAGCCCGTACTCTTTCTGCTGCTCAGTCCTACGTGATCTGCTGCAGCTACCCTCTAGCGTTTGTTTCTCCTACTTGTACTCGCCATGCTCTGTGCATATCAGGCTGTTTGCCGTACTCTGAATTGGAAGCCCAGTTTCATGTGGCTTCTTGGTTTTTGACACCAGCAAATAGTTCAGGGTCTTAAATAAAAGAGGTACTCAATAGATCTCGAATGTATGGATGAATGAGTGAATAAATGATATATGTTAGAAGGAGTCTGTATTTTAGAGATTGTAATTTATTTTGCAAACATGGTTATAACTATCGTTTGTAGTACTGGCTTTTAATTGGTAGAATTAAACAATAAGTAATGTTTTATATTCCTTTCTTCCTTGAAGTATCTTTATAATGAGAGATAACTAACAATCCTATGGTGTTTGTTTTAGAATGAACACTGTATGCATGTTGTACTTTTCTGAGGTTTGATACATTTTATTAATGCTTTTCTTCAGATTTAGGTGTGTTAAAGTCTCTTGGGAAACAGTAAAGAATTTTTAAAAAAATTTACACTGAGTGTCTCCATTATAGACTGCAGCCTTGTTTAATATTCAGCCTTGTTTAATGAAATAACTACTGTAAAATATAATGGCATTAAAACAATTGTAATTGTTTTTCTTTTAAGGGAATAAGCAGAAAACTTTCTACTACTCAGGACAAGAATTACAATATATTTATTTCATTCACTCACTGTGCCTTTTAGGAAGATTATTGATCTATACACAAGGCAGAAAGCTATTTCCTATAAAGCTGAAGAATAGAAAAGGTAAGTGCAATTAGATATGAATATGTTCAGGTATGGTAAGATTTGTGCTATGGATTTTTAAAATTTAGAGGTTTGGCTTGGTCTCTCCTAGGGTACTGAGCAACGTACCTTTTGTTCTGCTGACAGGCTTACATATCTTGAAGTGTTATAATTTTTTTGTTTGTTTTTCAGTATGTACTTCTTCCTATATGTATAATTTTATTTTCCCTGTCTTTTATGTTTTCCTTATTTTTTCTCTGACCTTCAAAATCCTAGATATACTGGATGGTCCAAATCTGGATACAGAACTGGAAGTCCCTGTTTAAGTTCTGGTTGCCCTAAAAACTAGCTGAGATCTTTGGGCAAATCACTGAAATATTTGTTTCTTTATCTGTAAAAATAGAATATCAGTGCTGGACTCAGGGAATATTTGAGATGATCACAGAGAATAGGTTTGGGAATAGTATTTTATAAACTGCAAATCCCTGGACCATATGATATATTACTATATTATTGTTACCCTAAGTCCCATTTTTAAAGTTTTCTCCTTCAGAATTCACATGCTGTTAGTTGTCTTCCTTACTTTCCTTAAAACTTTTGTCTTTTCTAGGAATATAGTACAGAGAAGAGATCAGCAAACTTTGCCTGTAAAGTGCCAGATAATAAATACTTTGGGCTTTTTGGGCCCCATACTGTCTCTGTTGCATATTCTTTGTGTGTGTATATATGCACAGGCATGCATGTGCAAAAAAGTTAACGCATTAGGCCAGAGACCACTATCCTTAGAAAGGGCTGCTTGCAAGGCTGGACTTTAGCTGGCATCTAGGAACTTGGATTTTTCACTGTTGCCAGAACTAATAACATTTTAGGCACAGTGAGCCACTCTTAATACAAACAATGTGTTTTAAGCTGAAAACCTGCTTTCCTTTCGGGTGTCTGGAATCCTGGTATGTATTGGGCAGAGAGTGCTTATGTATATGATGAGTCTCCAATAAAAAACTTTGCACATTGACTCTCTAATGAGCTTCCTTGGTAGACAGCATTTCACATGTGTTGTCACAACTTGTTGTTGGAAGAATTAAGTGTATTCTGTGTGATTCCTTGGGAGAGGACTCTTGGACAGTTGTACCTGGTTTGCTCTTGATTTCACCCTATGTGCCTTTTCCCTTTGATTTTACTTTGTATCCTTTTGTTGTAATAAATCATAGCTGGGGGTATTACTGTATGTTGAATTCTGTGAGTCTTCCTAGTGAATCTGGGAATGGTTTTGAGGACGCTGACATGTTTTACACACCTTTTAAAAATGGAAAAATCATTCTTAGCTTGCAGGCCTTACAAAATTAGGATAAGATGGCTATAGATTCCCACTTTTGTTATAAAGTATCTTCATTTTGAACATTTTATACTGTTTCCTAGTTGTTTTACTTAAGCCTTTTCTCCATGGTTAAGTTCATTGTGAACTCCTTAAGAAAAAGTGTTTTATGTACTTTTATGTGGTACTGCTGTATAATCCTACATATAATGGGCACACAGAGAAATGACTTTCAAGCAAAGAGCTGCTGTTGTATAGGATATTGTGAACTTAACAGAAATAGAAAGATTAATGTATATTTGTGATGTTTTAGGTGTTCAACTTAAATTTATGTCTATCATCCAACTTATTTAGCATTTTTTAATTGACTTTTGACAGCAACATTTTGGCCTATCAGATGTCACAGATCATCTCAAAACTCAGTTTTGAGACATCTATCATACTGTATTTAGTATAGGTCAGCATTCACTTTTAATTCACATGTGCTTTCACCAGAAATTTTTTATGTAAGCTTCTATAGCAGGTGTTGTTAAACTACAGCCCATAGACCAAATCTGGTACACTGTTCTGTGTGGTTTTTGAGCTAAGATTAGCTTGTATATTCTTAAATTATTGGGAAAACTTAATGTGTGATGGGGAAAAAATATATAAAATTCAAATTTCAGCATACATAAGTTTTTTTGGAAAATAGCCACACTCATTCATTTGCAAATTGTTTATGGCTACTTTAGTGCATCAAGAGCAAAGCTGAATCCTTGTGACAGACTGTTTGGCCACAAAGCCTACACTATTCACTATCTGGTCAAGGTTTGCTAACCTCTATTCTATAGTGCTATATAGGTAAGTTAGCTGGACCAACATGCTAAGCTGAAATTTACTGCTTCTAATTGAATAAACTGAAACAGCCCTGATCAGATTCATAGATCTTCCTATGGTAGGTTTATATTAAGTGATTGGTTCAACATAAGTGGTGTAAAACTACACCTTCACATAGCACCTATTGCATCATTTATCCTCGTTATCTTACTATGTCTAATTTATTCTTCCTGATATAATCTTGGATTATAGCCCCTTTCTCCCTAATTGTACCACAGTCTTTATGAAACCTCAGATTAGGAGGATGGAAGCTTAGTTAAAATTTTTCTAAGTTGTAAACATATGCTAGAAAATAACTTTTTTTTTTTTTCTTCCTTTTTGAAGATTCAGTATCCCTTGCAGATCTGCTGGTTCTGTTTACCCAACTTATCTATTACTCACCAAGTTGTCCAAAGATGACATCACCTGGTCATTTAGGTAATTCTGCTTCTATTGTTATTATAAATAGAGAAATAGAAACCATCTAAAATTATTCTATTTTCTGGATGTTTTGAGTGATGGACCTACTTCAGTAAAGAGGTTTCATTAAGATGCAGCATTATTCATAAGAAATTACATTGGTCCTCCCAGATGGCTTCACAGGAGAATTCTATCAAACATTTAGAGAAGAGCTGACACTGATCCTTCTCAAACTCTTCTAAAAAAACTGCAGAGGGAGAAACACTCTCAAATTCGTTCTACGAAGCCACCATCACCCTGATACCAAAACCAGAAAAAGATAGCACAAAAAAAGAAAATTATAGACCAATATCACTGATGAACATAGATGCAAAAATCGTGAACAAAATACTAGCAAACAGACTCCAACAGCACATTAAAAGGATCATACACCATGATCAAGTGGGATTTATCCCAGGGATGCAAGGATTCTTCAGTATATGTGAATCAGTGTGACACACCACATTAACAAATTAAGGAATAAAAACCATATGATCATCTCAATAGATGCAGAAAAAGCTTCTGAAAAAATTCAACACCCATTTATGATAAAAACTCTCCAGAAAATGGGCATAGAGGTAAGCTACCTCAACATAATAAAGGCCATATATGACAAACCCACAGCAAGCATCATACTCAATGGTGAGAAACAAAGCATTTCCACTAAGATCAGGAGCAAGACAAGGATGTCCACTCGCCACTATTATTCAACATAGTTTTGGAAGTCATAGCCACAGCAGTCAGAGAAGAAAAAGAAATAAAAGGAATACAAGTTGGAAAAGAAGTAAAACTCACTGCTGATCATGTGATACTATACATAGAAAATCTTAAAGATGCCCGCAGAAAATTACTAGAACAAATCAACGAATTTGGTAAGGTTGCAGAATACAAAATTAATGGCCAGAAATCTCTGGCATTCCTATACACCAGCAACAAAAAATCAGAGAAATTAAGGAAACACTCCCATTTACCACTGCAACAAAAAGAATAAAATACCTAGGAAGAAACCTGCCTAAGGAGGTGAAAGACTTACTCAGAAGCAAACTATTAAACACTGTTGAAAGAAATCAAAGATGACATAAACAGATGGAGAGATATACCATGTTCTTGGATTGGAAGAATCAATATTGTGAAAATGACTATACTACCCAAAGCAATCTATAGATTTATTGCAATCCCTATCGAGCTACCAATGGCATTCTTCACAGAATTAGAACAAAAAATCTTACAATTCATGTGGAAACACAAAAGACCCCCAAATAGCCAAAGCAATCTTGAGAAAGAACAATGGAGTTGGGGGAATCAGGCTCCCTGACTTCAAACTATACCACAAAGCTACAGTAATCAAGACAGTATGGTGCTGGCACAAAAATGGAAATATAGATCAAGAGTACAGGTTAGAATGCCCAGAGATAAACCCACACAAATATGGGCACCTAATTTACGACAAAGGAGGCAAGAACATACAGTGGAGAAAAGACAGTTTCTTCACTAACTGGTGCTGTGAAAACTGGACAGCTACATGTAAAAGAATGAAATTAGAACACTACCTAACACCATACAAAAATAAACTTCAAATGGATTAAAGACTTAATTGTAAGATCAGGCACTATAAAACTATTAGAGGAAAACATGGGAAAAACACTGACATAAACCACAGCAAGATCTTTTTTTAACCTATTTCCTAGAGTAACAAATAAAAACAAAAGTAAACAAATGAGACTTAAAAGGTTTTGCACAGCAAAGGAAACCATAAACAAGACAAAAAGACAACCCTCAGAATGGGAGAAAATATTTGCAAATGAAACAATAGATAAAGGATTAATCTCCAGGATATACAAACAGCTCATGGAGCTCAAGTATCAAGAAAACAATCCAGTTATAAAATGGGCAGAAGACCTAAATAGACATTTCATCAAGGAAGACATACAGCCAAGAGGCACATGAAAAGATGCTCAAAACCACTAATTATTAGAGAAATGCAAATCAAAACTACAATGAGGTATCATCTCATGCTGGTCAGAATGGCCATTATCAAAAAAATGCTGGAAAGGGTGTGGTGAAAAGGGAACCCTCCTGCACTGTTGGTGGGAATGTAAATTGATAATAACCACTATGGAAAACAGTGTGGAGGTTCTTTAAAAAACTAAAAATAGAACTACCATATGACCCAGCAATCCCACTACTGGGCATATACCCTGAGAAAACCATAATTCAAAAAGAGACATGTACCACAGTGTTCATTCCAGCACTATTTACAATAGACGGACATGGAATCAACCTATATGTCCATCGACAGATCAATGGATAAAAGAAGATGTGACACATATATACAATGGAATATCACTCAGCCATAAAAAGAAACAAAATTGAGTTATTTGTAGTGAGGTGGATGGACCTAGAGTCTGTCATACAGAGTGAAGTACGTCAGAAAGAGAAAACTACTGTATGCCAACGCGTATATATGGAATCTAAAAAAAAAAAAAAAAAGTTCTGATGAACCTAGTTGCAGGGCAGGAATAAGGAGGTAGACATAGAGAATGGGCTTGATGACATGGGATGGGAGTGGGGAAGCTGGGGCAAAGTGAGAGTAGCATTGACATATATACACTACCGAACGTAAAATAGTTGGCTGGTGGGAAACAGCAGTGTAGAACAGGGAGTACAGCTTGGTACTTTGTGATGACCTAGGGGGTGGGCTGAGGAGGAAGGGAGGGAGACTCAAGAGGGAGGGGATATGGGGACATGTGTATGCATATGGCTGATTTGCTTTGTTGTGCAGCAGGAACTAACAGGGTATTGTGAAGCAATTATACTCCAATAAAGATCTATTAAAAAAAAAAAAAGTAAAAAAAGAAAAAGAAATTACCTTGGTCCTGGAAGTAAACCATGAAATTTAAGTTTTTTTCTCTGATATTTAAGGTGTATATTTTTATTTAGAGCCAATTTTGCTGAGAATTCTGATGTTTAAGATCAAGATGTTCTTAAACAATATTAAGATAAGTTCGATAGGTACTAGTGTGTTCTTTATTGGTATTTTCTATCCTTTATATTTTCTTGGGTGTTTGGATCAGCCTGATTGTTTCAGCTTATATCCAATACTTATTTTCGGGGTCGTCTTTTATTGAAGAATAAAGCAAAGGAAAACCTTTTCTTTTTTCAGAAGAATCCCTTTTAGTCTTATAACTGTTGGCTGACTTATAAAAATTTGTTAACATGTTAACATTTAAAAGGTAACTTGTATTGATATTCAAAGGAAAAAGTTTGTTTTCAAAGTAAAACACTTAATAACAACCCACCTCCTCCCCCCCCCACCCCAGATTTATAGACTCAAGCATTCTAAACGTGGAAGTTACTTTAGAAATGATGGTACAGATTCTTAGAGGAACACAGGTGAATCACAGAAAAAAATTATTTGGGTCATATATTAGTGTTGTAATACATCTATCAATTGGTAGGTTTTATCCATGCAATTATAACAGCCTATTAGTCCTAACAATGTTTCTCATACTTTTTCTGCCTTTAAAGTATTGATATTTACATGTATAAAGTACTAGGTTAGGTACCCCTGCTATATGCTCCTACAGCATACTATGCTTCCTTTATGAAAAATATTATCCTTTGTTATAATTGATAATGGCTTGGTTTACCATCTTGTGGAGTATTTGTCTTATTTACTTCTTTGTCTACGTAGCACTCAAAAGTAGCAGAAAGTTGGATGAATGAATGAATAATGGTGAGATGCTCATCAGTAGTCTCTCACTGCAAACAGCATTTCTCATCTTGAGCTGGTTAAAAAAATCACTGAACTTTTCTGTTTTCCCTTTCTGTCAAGTATTTGCTTAGTGTATTTATGGAGTATGGAATATTGTAGTATAAATTAAGAACTTTTTGTTTTAGTCTTGTATCTTACTAGGACAACCTTACATTACTAACTTTTGTAAAACACTGTTGTGTAAAACTTTATTATTTTCATGTAAAACACTATTTTGTTCAGTATATTAGGAGTTCAAATGTCTGCAAATGTTAATTTATGAAACTAAAAATACAATATTTATTTTAGGGACTGGTCCCCATATTATATTTATTCGTATCTGTGTCTTCCTATATATATTTTAAAACAAAGTCTTAAAAATTCTCATTCATTTCATTGGTTTTATGGTAACACCAGAAGTATTCTAGTCTCCATTAAAATTTCTCCTCTGCCTTCTTTTTGACTGTGTTTTGTCTTAATGACTCTAATTTTCTACGAGGCTTGACACCTGAAGACACTTTCTTCTTTTTTAAGAAAAAGAAGAAAAGTGAATACAATAAGTAAGGTGTTTGCCAGGAGGGGAGAAGTTGTAAATTTGTTTCAGACCACATTCTCACTATCAAGCAGAGCTTTAATGTCAAACAGCAAATGACCTCATGGTGTCTTTTGGTATTTATATTATCATTTACTCACTTTTATTAACTTGAAGATAAGTTAAGCTAACATTGTCTTAAGTTTAAGGTCATAATTTGGTAATAAATCATCCTTTGGGCATCCTTTATTTAACCTTGATGAGCTTTTTGGAGCAGCAGTAGTTAACAGAAATAAAAGATATAATAATGTTCTAAGTTTTAATTTTCAAAAAATACTTCTTCTTTATCAGAGAATTACTCTCCTGCAAGTATGGTAACTGAAATTCTTTGTATACTCTGTGATCAAAAAGAATGTGCAATTGAATGTTTATATAACAACACTGTGATGGAGGCGCTTCTTCAGCCTATTCATAACCTAATGAAAGGAACTAAGGTTGGTATTAAAGAGTCTCTTAATTGGATATTAGTGAATATTCAGTGGGAGTTCTAAATTTTATAATCTGAAGTATTATACCATTTTCCCTATAAATGTATTTTAAATCTTAGTTTATACAATCAGTTGATTTTAGTTATGACAATGTAGGGGGGGGAATTACATATAATATCTTAAACTTTTTTTGGTCAGGCTTAGATTATAAGGACTCAAGTTATTATATTGAGCTATTTGTTTTGCAAATCTAATAAGTCTTGTGAATGTTTCATTGTTTGTTTTAATGGCAACTGTATAGCCTTTGGAAATATTTTCCTGAAGAGCCAGCTTTGTTTTACATGAAGAACAAGTACTACTTTAGAAAAACTTATAATCATCCCAGTTCTGAACATACGTATATGTCTCTTTACAGGTTGTACAGTATATTTCCTTACGTTATATAATTTAACCTTCACAGCTGAGGCTGAAGGAAGCAAATTGCTTAAGGTCAGACCTTTAACAGGTGGAAGAGTTGGTACCACTACCACTAGTGCAGTCTAATATATCTCTCCACTTTTTATGACGTAAATTTCTGGAGAATGACTTAAAGCTTTATCAGTAGGCTACAGGTTTTCGCCTTTCTATGTCCGTGTTTTGTAGTGTTTTTATTAGCTTTGTCTCCCTTTGCCCACCTCTCAATGGGCTGGGCAGCTGCTCACCCATTCAAGTATTCATTATTTATTGCTCATTTAGAAAACATTAAGCATTTATGTGAATGTAGTACAAGGTATGGAATTCTAGGAAAGTTAGTAGATAAAATGAAAGTATTTTGACCTTAGTCAACCTCAGGGAAACGAGATGAGCAGAGAAGAAACAAATAGAGCATAATACACAACTGAATATTACAGAATGCCATAAAGTAAATTGTGAAACGTAAACCATATACCAGAGCTGAGAAATGTACTCCTGAATCTTGAGCCATAGCTATTGTTTGCTTCTTTGCTTCATACATCTATCTTTAACTTTCTGTTTTCTTTTGGCATCTTTCTTTACCAGTATATACTGGTAAAGCTAGTTTTAGTACTTTTAAGAATCAAAAGTGGGGAAATATGATTGGTCCAACCTATGTTTTCTCATTAGATGACATCATTGGCTATTGGCCAGCCCATGAATTGGCTGTCCTTAGTCACACCTACAACTCATGACCCAACAACCAGGTGTAGGAAGGGATGGTATCCCTTAGAAAAGATGGTAGTATATTAGATACCATGTATCATAAAATTAGATTGGATATACAGTGAGTGAGAAGTAAATGGCAAAGAAGAAGAGCTACTGCATTTGTCAGCTAGAATTATATACATATAAAACTGTGATAGCAGCAGTTTTTTCAACTGTCTTAATAATCAATAATTGGTTTGGGTAAAAAGTGTGTATGTATTTGCCTTATCAACTGTGCTGGTACGAGAATATAATCTAATGACACATTTAATTCAGACATTATTTCACAGCCAAACAATCAACTTTTTTGTTGTGGTAATATAACTTTATTAGACTACACGACCACCCTTGAATGTTAGTCTGTGATATGTTAGCGTGTCTTAAAATTATATGATATGTTTAATGTACAGGCTGCTCCAAATTGCTCTGAAACAGCTTTAATTCATGTAGCTGATATTTTGGCAAGAATTGCTTCTGTAGAAGAAGGACTTACTCTACTGCTTTATGGAGAAAATATGAGCTCTTCTGAAGAGAAAAGGTATGTTTCTGTTTTGAATTTGTGGAATTTTTTAGCATATTTTCTCATACCTGATTTAAAGTTTCCCAAAATTTTGTCATATATTAATGAAAATTGGGATAACTATTCTAGATATAGTTAGGTTTCCTTATCAACTGCTAACATATTAGATCATCAGAAAGTTGCAGGAGTAACCAGGATTATGGATTATACAGGCAGAGTAGGTCTTGATGTCTGCAGCTTCAAAATAAGAATAGGAGGGTTCACTCTACATGGGATCTTTTTTGCTTCCTTGGACTGTACTCTTTCAACTTCTAAAGCCACACATGATTGATTTCAAGTTAAACCACACAATGGAAATGCTGAATACTTCCACATCTTCCTTCTCTAACCCCTACTCCATTCTATCTCCTGGCTTAGCCATTGGTAACATTTTGGTTATGCTTCCAGACTTTCTCTGCACCTATAATGATGCATCAAGTATATATGTTCATGTTTATAGAATTCTTTCTCATTTCAAAAATGGTGTATACATTACTCTGCAGTTTTTTTGTGTGTAACCAAAGCATCTTCCTAGGTGAATGAAACATTTTTAATAGCTCTATGATACTTTTTTGTATGCTTTACCATAATTTATTCAAACTTCTCTCCAATTATTGGATATCAAGTTGTGTTTAGGATTTTGCCGTCATAAATAACACCACAGTGAGTGTTCTTTTATCCTGCTGAAGTGGTAGATTACATTAATTAACTTTCTGAATATTGAACCAGCTTTGCGTACCTAGAATAATTGTTTTTATACATTGTTAAATTTGATTTGCTAATGTTAGTAGAGGATTTTTGTCTGTGTTTGTGAGAGAGATTGGTCTGTAGTTTTTGTGATCTTTGGCCTTACTGTAAAATGCTGGTCTCATAAGTTAGGAAGTGTTCTGCGTCTATCTTATGGAAGAGATTAGGCATAATTTCTTAAATGTTTGATAGAATTCACCAGTATACGTATTTGGGTGTGGTGTTTTCTGTTTAGGAATATTATTATTTATTCTATTTCTTTAATAGATATGGGTTTGTTCAGATTGTTAGAATTTTGGCAGGTTGTGTCTTTAAAGAATTGGTCCACTTATCTAAGTTTTAAATTTGTGGGCATAGAGGTTTTTGTTTTTGTTTTTTTTACAGTATTCCTTTGTTACTCTTTTAAAGTCTATGGGATTAGTAGAGATGGCCCCTCTTAATTCTGATGTTAATTTGGTTCTACTTTTTTTTTTCCCCCTCTAGCTTTGCGTCTAGAATAATTGTTTTTATACATTGTTAAATTTGATTTGCTAATGTTAGTAGAGGATTTTTGTCTGTGTTTGTGAGAGAGATTGGTCTGTAGTTTTTGTGATCTTTGGCCTTACTGTAAAATGCTGGTCTCATAAGTTAGGAAGTGTTCTGCGTCTATCTTATGGAAGAGATTAGGCATAATTTCTTAAATGTTTGATAGAATTCACCAGTATACGTATTTGGGTGTGGTGTTTTCTGTTTAGGAATATTATTATTTATTCTATTTCTTTAATAGATATGGGTTTGTTCAGATTGTTAGAATTTTGGCAGGTTGTGTCTTTAAAGAATTGGTCCACTTATCTAAGTTTTAAATTTGTGGGCATAGAGGTTTTTGTTTTTGTTTTTTTTACAGTATTCCTTTGTTACTCTTTTAAAGTCTATGGGATTAGTAGAGATGGCCCCTCTTAATTCTGATGTTAATTTGGTTCTACTTTTTTTTTTCCCCCTCTAACCTGGCTAGAGGCTCTTCAATTTTACTGATCTTTTTAAAAGACTAGCTTTCCCACCCCCCACCCCAGCCCCACTCTGTTCATTTCCTGTTTTTAATTTGACTGATTTCTGTTCTAGTTTTTATTGTTTTCTTCCTTATGATTTTGTTTCATTTTCCATGGTGAAAGCTTAGATTATTGAATTTTAGGTTTTCTTTCTAATATGTACATTCAATGATATAAATTTCCCTCTAAGCACTGCTTTTGCTGCATCCGACAATTGAGTTGTGTTCATTTTCATTAGTTCAAAATATTTTTAAACATTTCTGGAGACTTCTTTGACCTATGAGTTATTTATGGGTCTGAGAGTATATTTTGTATGATTTATATTTTTAATTTGTTAAAATGTGTTTTATGACCCAGAATGTGGTCTCTTAGTGAATGTTATGTCTTATGTGAGCTTGAGAAAAATGTATATTCTGCTATTGAAGTATTCTATACATATCAGTTATGTACTGTTGGTAGTTGGTGGTGTTCAGCAATGTCCTTACTAGCTTCATGCTGGATCTGTCAATTACTGACAGAGGGGTGTTGAAATTTCAGACTATATCAGTGAATTCATCTTTTTCTCCTTGCATTTCTGTTAGTTTCTGCTTCATGTATTTTGACACTATTGGGTGCATACACATTAAGGATCGTTATGTCCTTTTGGAAAATTGACCCCCTTTATTATGTAATGTGCCCTGTGCGTAATTTTCCGTGCTGTGAAGTCTAAACTAATATAGCTACTCCAGCTTTCTCTTGTCAGCACATGTCTTTCTTCATCCCTTTACTTTTTTTTTTTTTTTTTTTTTTTTTTTTTTTGCGGTACGTGGGCCTCTCACTGTTGTGGCCTCTCCCGTTGCGGAGCACAGGCTCCGGATGCACAGGCTCAGCGGCCATGGCTCACGGGCCCAGCTGCTCCATGGCATGTGGGATCTTCCCGGACCGGGGCACAAACCCGTGCCACCTGCATCGGCAGGCAGACTTCTCAACCCCTGCGCCACCAGGGAAGCCCCTTCATCCCTTTACTTTTAATCTGTCTTTGTCATTATATTTAAAATGCGCTTCTGTAGATACCACATAACTGAGTCTTGTATTTTATCTAGTCTGGCAGTCTTTCTTTTAATTGATTCTTGTCATTTAGAGTGATTTGATATGATTGGATTAATATCTACCGTATTTGTTACTGTTTCCTGTTTTGCCTTTATTCTTCCTTTTTTGTGTGTGTTCCGCACTTTTTCTGCCATCTGTTATTTTTTTCCATCATGTGTTTTAATCTGTTTACATCTGGGAACATACTGTCTTTCTGATAATAGTCACACAGACCAAGGTCTTTTCTTGGGTCACCGTTTAATCCTCACAGTGGCTAAGGAAGGGGCCTCTGTGGTCATCTTCATTATATAGATGGAGACTTTGAGGCTTGGATTTCGATAACTTTGATTTAGTATAAGAGTAGTTTTTTTCTTTTTGTTTTATTTTTGACCTATTTTGCAGTAATGAAAAATTTCTTTTCTCTGCTATACAAAAGTAACACATACTCCTGACAGTGAACTTGGGAAGGAGGAACGGAGCCTTAGTAATTGAATTGAGAGGCAGCACTGAGTGAGGGTTAGTCACATGAGCCCTGGTTCAGACTACTTGGGTTCACATCCTAGCTCCACTGCTCAGTCATTCCTCACCTGTGAATTAGGGATAATCAGCACTACCTGACTCACAGGGCTGTCAAAACTTTAAGCCAGTTACTACATGTGAGGCAGTAAGGGTTAGTTAGCTTTTAGTGTGCACACATGTGCCTTATAAAAAGTGGGCCTGTGCCTTGTGTTTTCTTCTAGTACTTAACAAGTTTTGTAGAAGGTAAGCTTTCTGAACTCCTACCTTTGAACAGAATAAATACATTTTCATAGTTGGTTGATAGCTTGGCTAGGTGGGGAGACTGGAAACATTGTTACATTGCCTTCCTGCATCCACTATTGCCAAGTTCCATGGCTGAGTTTCCTTCTCAGGAGCCTTTTTTAAATTTTTTTTTATAGTATCCACTACAAAGGAGTAAAGTGATGAACTTTATTTATTTATTTATTTTTGGCTGCATTGGGTCTTCGTTGCTGCATGGGCTTTCTCTAGTTGCGGCGAGCGGGGGCTGCTCTTCCTTGCAGTGCGCGGGCTTCTCATTGCGATAGCTTGTCTTGTTGTGGAGCACAGGCTTCTAGGCACACGGGCTTCAGTAGTTGTGGCTCGCGGGCCCTAGAGTGCAGGCTCAGTAGTTGTGGCGCACGGGCTTAGTTGTTCCGCGGCATGTGGGATCTTCCCGGACCAGGGTTCGAACCCGTGTCCCCTGCATGGGCAGGGGGATTCTTAACCACTGTGCCACCAGGGAAGTCTCCAGGAGGCTTTTTTACCTCTGAAACTTTCCAGGACCTGATGTTTCTTGAGGGTATGACTTACTCTGGGCCTTTTTTCCTTTTCTCAGGCATTAGCTGGACAGTTTTAGGGAGAGGACTTGCATTCTTTGGCACAGGGGACTTTGCTTCTGTTGTGAGTTTGATCACTTTCTCTGCTTCTGTTTTCTCTTTTTGGTGCTCCTGTGAATTGGATGTTGAATTTCCAGGTGTGATCCTTTGGGTCCCTTAGCTTTTCCCTCATAGTCCTGCCTTTTTGATCTTTTTTGTTATGTAGGAGATGTTTTTGGATTTATTTTGATAGTGATTTTTACTTTCTAAGAATACTTGGTTTGATATTTTTTAAGCTTGTCAAATGGGCCAGGTTTTCCATGCCTGGCTTCCCAGATCCTGTAGTTTAGGGGCCCTTCTGGTCCAGAATGCTAACTTCAACCTCTCTCGAACTCCCTGTCTAGTTGGGTACCTCATGGCTGTCCTCAGCTATGCCTGGCTTCCAGCTCTGAGCCTCTTAGGCTTACCTTCTCCAGAGCAGCTTCGTCCAGTAGAGCTTTATGTGATGATGGTATGTTCTAGATCTGAACTGTCTAGTAACGTTACCACTAGACACTTACGGCTGTTGAGCACTTAATGTATGGCTAGTGTGACAGAACTGAGTTGTAACTTTTATTTGCTTTTAAATTAAAAAAATTAAATGTGTTTAATGGCTATGGTATTCACCACTCTAGAGAATAAATCTCTAGTCTTTTGGCAGGATGGGGAATAGGGACTATGGGTTGGGAGACCTTAGACTACTACTCCTGTGTTCAGCCCCACCTGCATCCTGCCCTGGGCTGTT